TCTTGGCCTAATAATTCCAACATTCATGCCATATCTGACTGGTTTTGATGACTGTTCAGTCTCTTCAAACTATTTTTTGGCTTTTAGTATGATTGCAGGTTTTCACTGAAAGTGGACATGATATACTGGGTAAAAGGAACGTAATAAATAGGTCTTTAGTAATGCAGGATAGGATGTGGGCGAATGGTTAGTGTTCTGTAGTCCTATGATTAGGTCTCAGTTTCTGTGAATTTGTGCCACTGTGAACTTCAATAGTGCTTCTTAGCTCTCCCCTTCTCACTCCACCTCACGTGGGACAGGATGGCTAGAGTGACCTGGCATTAGGTTAGGCTCTGATAAAACCCCAACGGGTTAGGTTTTGGTAAAATACTTTCTTCTGAGGACAGGTGTTGTTAGGAAGAACATAATGCTCCAGTGTATTTCAAAATGGTTATTTTTGAAAGTAATCAGTAATATTAAATTTTCCTGCAATAGTCACTGTGAGGACCTAGTAAGGCTCCTGGAGGTAAAACTCATCAAAGCATGGGAGCCCCTATGATTGGATCCCCCTAGAGTTTTACACTCTCAGCTTTGTCCACACTAAGCCTCCAGCAACTTCTCAATTACACTTCAGGTTTTCCTACCCCAACACCAGTTGCCATGAAGATTTCTGCTCCAGTAAGTTGTGATTCTCTGTCCATTTGTCTGTGTCTCCAATTTGGGGGCAGTGATTGGCTCTGTGACCTCACTTCTCTGGCAGATCTAAGAAGAGTTGTTGATTTTTAGTTTGTTCAGCTGTTTACTTGTTTGTTGTTAGGATGGAGTGGCCACTTTTAAGCTCCTTACATGCCAGACTAGAATCTCTGCCTATTTTTAAAACTTATTGTTACATGTGAAAATATAAAAGACTGGTTATAATTTACTGTATTTTCTGGGTTAAGTTATGTGATATAAAATACTTGCATATTTGAGGATTCAAGGTCACTGGGAGAATCTCTTATATGTCAAAGTTTATTATACTATTTCTTGCATATAATGCACTCATAAACTATGTACTTTTTAATGAGCTATACCCAGTGCTCTAAGTAGTGTATATCACATAGTAGTTAAAAAATGTCTGTGGAATAATCAGTAAATGAATGAATAAGTTCCTTGGGATTCTGTCTTGTATTAGCAGATCAAACTTTTTAACAAGCTCAATTTGTCCTGAGAAAGATACATGGCAGGAATTGTTCTAATTTTTAATATTTCTGCTAGTTATTAATATACTTGCTTGCTCTACATCTGAACTCTGAAAACGTTTCTTTTGATGTTCAATTTGAAAGTAAAAAATTGGGAACTCACAAATCTCTACGTAGGAGTTGTTCTATGAAATAACCACTTTAGGTTCTCCAAACTAAGAACAAAAATTGTCAGACTAACAGACATAAAATGGAGGACAAAAATTAAATGTGTGTAGCTTATTTGTTTAATAACCAATAGTTAGTGCACATTATTTCATTGCAGATTATCCTTGGTATATTTTAAATCTCAGACTGGCTTTCTCTTGCTATATAGGAATCTTTAAGTTTTCCATTCCTATATTCCCCTTTACCCAACCTAGAACTACATGCTATAAGCAATATGATTTTAATTTTAACCGAAATAAACTTTAAGATATGAGACATATTTTTGGAAGAAAATTTAGTGTAAAATATAAATTCATTATCCAATAACATTTAATTAAATTTGAATTGTGTAGCAACTGTATTCTACTAAAGTGACCAGTAGTAATCACTATTTGTGCTAGATTGCCATCCCCCTAGCCCTCAGCTTAACTATTTCTTACTTGGCTCTGCTTCCAAGCAGTAGACTAAGAAAATTTTAAGTTCCAAAAAAGAGTGATCGGACGGTGAAAGAGATCTCAAAATCATGTCATATGAGGAGTAACTGAAAAGAAAGAAAGAGAAAACTAGGGTCATTGGATGGATAGCAATTAAAGGGAGGCACATTTTTGTCTCAACATTGGTCTCAGATTCCTTCACGTGGTCCACAATGCCCTGAATGATTTGGCTTTTGCTAACTTCTCCTGCGTCATCTTGCAAAAATTGTTCCATTCACTTCTTGTGTTTCAGCTCTTTTCACACAATTTGATACCTCCCCTTTCAGGACTTTTGTACATACACCACTTTGACCAGCAATATTCTCTATTTTTTTGCCTAAGTGATTTCTACTATAGATCTCAGTTCAAACATTATTTTCTCAGGGAAGCCCCACCCTCAAACAAAAGTCCTAGGTCAGGTTTCTCTTTTAGTAGTTATTTCATTTATATGTCTCTCACATTAGACTATGTGTCAAGGTATAAGAGACCATGTTTGTGTTTTCACTATTTTCTTGCCTCACATGGCGACTAGTGCATAGTAGGTAGGGAACAGATCCCAGGTGGATTAATGAAAATCCATTCTTATGTTGGATAAATTGTCCATTTCAACTTAAATGCCAATATATATAAATGTATCATATATAATATCATATATGACTATATATTATGTTATATATTATTATATGCTATATATATGTATTATAATATATATATGTTTTTGAGAGAGAGAGTGCACGTGCATGACCTGGGGGAGCGGCGGCAGGGCAGAGGGAGAGAGATAATCCCAAGCAGGTGCCACGCCCAGTGCAGAGCCAATGCCAGGCTCAATCTCAAGACCCTCAGACCATGACCTGAGCCGAAATCAAAAGCCGGATGCTTAACCGACTGAACCATTCAGGTGCCTCCAAAACAGTTTTTGAAAAACCACCAGATGAGCTGGGATCATTCTTTTCTCTTTGTAATAAAAGCTGAAAATTAAAAAAAAAAAAAAACCCACCAGAAAATAACAACAACAAAATAAAAACACGTAGGTGACAAAAGTGAAGGAATAACACTGGATAATAGGAATTTGTATAAACTGTGGGGAATTGAAGAAAGTGTGTGTTATGTAAAGGCATTCAAAATTCAAAGAACTTTGAAATGCTGTAACGACAGAATACAGCATGTCCATATAATGGTTTTGGTTATAGATTAGTATTTTGCAGTGCTTGTATTAAAATGATATATCCATTATATATTCAATACAAATGATATTATAGAGAATACATAATGGCATGAAACTATGCTCATAAAATAAGTTTAAAATAGCATGCTTTTTAAATGTTCTACAATGAACATGAATTGTTTTTGTATTCAGAAATGAATTTTTACAAGGTAAAGAAGTAACTCAGGTGGCAGTGTGGAGGATAAAATGGAGTAGACTAGGACCAGAGGCAGAAAGATTGACAATTGAAATAGTATGTGTGAAAGCGGGTAGAAGCCAAATTAAGGTAGTAGCTGTGAGCACAAAGAAAGTAATTAGATAGGAGGACATAGAATGAATAGGATTTGGTAATCTTAGATCTGTTTAGGTTGGAGATAAAGGTTAAGGAAACATTAGCTTAAACACAGTAATTCCACTGATAACCCTGAATCTAAATGGGTTGGAGATAAGGGTTATGAATTCATTAGCCTTAAACATGGTAATTGAAATGAGATTCCTTAGGGAAAGAATATAATATAGAAATAGGGCAGTGGCCTGAATCATGGGGAAAATTGTTCAGAACCTAGGCAAGAAGAGGGAATTATTTTATTGAGACCCCTTGGAAAATGGAACCGTTGATGTCAAATTCCACAACAGTCAGGTAAAGTAGGGGCTGAAAAGAGGCTAATGACTTTGACAATTAGGAATTAATCATAAATCATTACCTTCCTTAATAAAGTCAGTTTCTCCCAGGAAGGCAACTGAGGGAATGTCTCCATTGATGGTGTTGGTGGGGCACCTATAACTACTGCTTCAATCCTTGTTCTGTAAGATTCTCTAAGAATGGAACTATACCCCCCAGGGGACTACATTAGTCAGGGCTATTTTAATTGCAAATGAATAAAACCTACCTTAAAATAGCTTAAAGGAAGCTGTCAGGGGTGGGTGAGAGAAAAGGCAGAAGTTAGTGGCCACTTAATGGACAATGGATCTAATCCTGGATTTCAAATATTATCTGGACTCTACTCTCTATTGCTAATACCTGCTTTCTTTTGTCTTTGCTGTACGGTAAGATAGGCTCACTCCATGTTATGTCAGCAGCTCTAGCCTCAGTAAAATTTCATAGATAACTGGAAAGATTGACCTGGCTCATCTGCCTATCTTTATGACAAGGAAAAAAAAAAGAGTCATGTAATTGACAGCTTTATCAGGTAGAGAAAAGGCATTTCCTGAAGAGATGGACATAGAAAAAGTAAGAGTTGGAGTCTTCTCCACAACATTCCATCCCTTGGCTACCTAGCATCTACACTTGTGCTTCTTCCAGTACATATAATTTCATAAATGTCCTAGCTTAAGACAATGTAATGATCCCATGGACAACTGAAATACTCTCCTGGGAAACATGCCAAAGTCTCATCCAATTATTGCATCTTGCTTGAAAATCAAGAGTTCTGATGTGCATTTCTTTTGGTCAGGTCTGGATGTAGCTCTTTGTGGTACAACACGGTAAAGATAATTTTATTGGATAGTGGTATAAACTTAACAAGGTGAGTTAAGGGCACTCACACCGGGCTTGATCTCACAACCCTGAGATCATGACCTGAGCTGAAATCAAGAGTCCGACGCTTAACCAAGTGAGCCACCCAGGCATCTCAAGGGCACTTTTAATTAGCTAGTGGATGAGGTCCTTGGTCAGCTAATATAATGGTCCTGAGTTTGCTCTCTGAAAGGTGCTCCCTTATCCCTTACACAAAAGAGGGCATTGGAATTAAGCAATCACAGGCCCTTGTTTGCAAGAGTTGGTGTTTCTTTTTTTTTTTTTTTTAAGATTTTATTTATTTATTTGACAGAGAGAGACACAGTGAGAAAGGGAACACAAGCAGGGGGAGTGGGAGAGGGAGAAGCAGGCTTCCCGTGGAGCAGGGAGCCCGATGCGGGGCTTGATTCCAGGACTCCGGGATCACAACCTGAGCCGAAGGCAGATGCTTAACGACTGAGCCACCCAGGCGCCCCAGTAGTTGGTGTTTCTGTCAATACAATTCTCTTGCAATCTTAGTTGGCTGCTGGTCACTTTGCTTTCTGGTAACTGTGGTTTAGAAACCAAAAATGGAGATGGTATATGAACCTGTTTTCTGTCCTTAAGCAATGGGTTGCAAGGTTGGAATACATCTATCCTCCAGCCAACTAAATTTAACTACATATTTATCTATACTCCACTAAACTAAACTTAAGTATTTCTATTTTGGCCTTTACATCCAAAATTTTAAACTGAAGAATGAGTTTAGGGATAGTGCAGCTAGATTTTATCTGTCCCCTTGCCCCAAGTCACATCTCAGGGAATGGCTCCTCACAATAGGACTAATTTGTCAACCTTTGTCAGACAGAATACAGCAAGAGATGCATGAGGTGATAAAGGATCAAGTTTTTTCCAGGGTTCCAATTATATCTTTTACTGGGTGTCCAACTCCCTACCTTTATCTGCGCTAACTTTAGCTCAGGATAAAGAATATGGGTTTTCCAAACCTGCAAGATGCAAGTTTATTTAATTCTCAGGCACATGGATTACTGAGTACACACAGAAAGAGTGTCTTAGATTCTCTTTCTTCTGCATTCAGATAGCTAGCTTGGACTGAAGTGCATCCCTTTCTTGTAGGACCTCACTAAAAGACCCACTCCAAAATCGACATTTTCCTATCAATTCTCTTAGAATTTCCATCTTAATATAGACATTGCCTACAACCTAAAATTCAACAGGTTGTTGCTTGCTATATGTTAAGTACTGCCAAACCTCCTAGCTAGGGCTAAGGAAACTTATTACTGTGCATCCCACCTAGACTCACTGGTTTTACGTTTCAGGCTGTGTCATTTGTTGACACCGGTACTATTTTATGCACTAATCAGGAATAAAAACAAGAACTTTGCCATTTTGAGATTCGTACTTGCTTCCAGTTTAACAGGCTGTTTTGAATTTCATATTAATTTTTTATTCAAATTCAGGGAATTCAAAGGTTAAGGTATGATTAGACTATTCTCATTTCTCCTCTAAGATTTTATCTGGTTGCTAGAGGTAAGTTCTTTACCATCATGGCATTGGCAGAGGGAAATATGGTTTGCTTGGTGTCTAAATTTGTTGCTGAAAGGTCTGTTGTTGATACAACTTATAATCTACTCTCTCAGTCAAAGTGTGATTGTTTTCCCTCTGCCCTTACCTCAAAATGTATGGATATTAGTGTCTTCTCAATAGGATCCTCTATCCAATCCATGGATTCATAGCACAGCCTCTGCCGTGAGTTTCCATCACCCTGTCCTGCAAGCAGTTAGGTTTATTGTGAACCAAGTTTACATACCTCTTAAGAAATTCTGTATTTCCTTTTCAGTCCACTGTCATCAAGAAAGATGCAGGAGTGGAGTGGTTATCAATATTGCCTGGTCCACTCTGCTTAAACAGAGTATGTTTTTCTTCTTGATTGTAGTTGCCTGTGTTGGGCAAACTTCCTGGTGGGAAGCAGGGCACAAGCCATAAGCTCTGTTTTTGAATTCTGGTCTTCCTGGCAGTATCTGCCCTATTTCTTTCTTATGCAAGCTTGGGGTTGAACAGGTTAATGATTTGATTAGTAATAAAATTACTTCAAAAATGTAGTCTTATGATCCATTTGCTTCCAGTAACCATACCCAAAGTTTATTTGTTCTTTTTTTCTTTTTTATTTATTTATTTAATTTCTATACCCAACTTGGGGCTTGAACTCATGACCCTGAGATTTAGAGTCACATGCTCTTCTGACTGAGCCAGTCAGGCACCCTGACCCAAAGTTCTTTCTTATATAATTCTCAAACCTGATTTACTTCTTTGCTTCCTTGACCCCATGTCTGTTTCTCTAGAACTTCATCCCAGCCACCTTCAGGCCATCTAAAATAATGGCTTTGGATGGGAACACCAAAGCCTCGATATGCTCTTTGTTCCTGTACTGTACTCAAGGCTTCCCCCATTTCATTTTTTACCACTCAAGGTCTAGAAAGACAGCATTTCCAATCCTTCCAAGTATTCTTCTTTTTTTTTTTTTTTAAGATTTTATTTATTTATTTGACAGAGAGAGACACAGCGAGAGAGGGAACACAAGCAGGGGGAATGGGAGAGGGAGAAGCAGGTTTCCCGCAGAGCAGGGAGCCCGATGCAGGGCTGGATCCCAGGACCCTGGGATCATGACCTGAGCCCAAGGCAGATGCTTAATGACTGAGCCACCCAGGTGCCCCACCTTCCAAGTATTCATATGCATTTTCATTTCTGCCATTCTTTCCTTGAGCTTATCTTTTTAGTAAAACCTTGCTAAAAGCAAAATGTAAAATTCAAAATACACTATTACTTTTATTCTTTTGAACTATTTCCTCTGGAGCTAGTCTCAATAGATAGGTGATATGCTTCTCAATTATGCTGCCCCTACAAAACCTGGGTCTCCTTCTTCTGGCCTCCTATATCAATTTCTCTAACATCTGCTACATCATTACTAAGCCAATGCAACATATTTTAGATTACTGTCCTACCAGTATTCCCCTTCTGGTACCAATTTCTGGATTAGTTATGGTCATTCTAGCTCCTATAACATATAAATTCTCAAATCTCAATTTTCTCTCTTATGATAAGTCCAAAAAAGCGTTTTTCTAATTTGGAGGTGGTGATCTTCTAAGTAGTGATTTAGCTAATCATGCACCTCTTTTGTGGCACTGGCATCTCCAACATATAGTTTTCAAGGTTATGATACTCACTTGCTACCAGCTGACGGAAAAGAGTAAAGGAGGACGGAAGGAAGTTTAAGCCTGGAAATGAATGCATCACTTCCATTCACATTTCACTGGCTAAAAGTCAACCACATGGCCCCAACTAACTGTAAAGGAAATTGGGAAATTTAGTCTAGCTGTATGTTCAGGAAGAGGAAATGTTTCATGAATGGTTAGTCAAGTCTGCCACAAGGCTCTAAAAAAAAAAAGCTAGTCAAAAATAACAGTAAGTCACTGCAGGCGCTCTGTCTATTCTAACAGGCTGGCTTGACTGTATCCTACTAGTCCCAACAAAATAATTCATTTCACTACTACGTAAAAGAGCAAGAGTTTCTTTTCTTTTAATAATGGGATTAAAGAGTATTTCTGACAGTGTGATAGGTACAGAAGTTAGAGTGTAAAGGGTTAATGAGTTAAATTCAGATAACAGAGACAATGAACATAGAATCCTCTTTAAAGAATTGTGAGGGAAAGGAAATGGAGTGGAATCATAAATGTGGAGGATTGAAGACAGAAAAGTTAATAAATGGAAGAGAAAGAAGCAATTGGAACTAGAGTGCCGATAATTCATCTCTGCAGGGAATGTCTCATTCCTCTGATACTGGAGAAAAGGAAAGTTCTGAAAGTATCTAAGTCTACAGCGTTTGTAAAGTTGAAGGAGTTAATGCCTAATAGCATCAATCTTCTTTTGACTTTTGAAGTAAAGTCATATAATGAAATGTGGCTAGGACTTAAGACTGTAAAAAGTATTTTGGTGGGAAGGGAAAAGAAGGTGCTGATGGATATACAGCTGAGATTCTAGAACCGACACCTGCAGTGGTATGATGCACAATGTAGTGTAATGTTCTGCACAGGAACTCAGCAACCATTGTAGGAGAGGAACAGGCAGATAGTTAGCTTAGTGTGTATATTTACTGTAGCACTTATTATACCAAACAGCCCCTGGAAGCAGAGACTTTGATTTCAAAAACTATGCACACAGTAGGAACATGATGAATTTTTGTTTGAATGAATTGATTCAGTCATTGCCAATTCTGCCATAGTACTCTGTAGAGTACTGGCAACTGCCCACATTTCATATGGTATGCCAATGCTAAAAAGAAAAAAAAATGCTAAAAAAAAAATTCAGGCACACTCAATTAAACTTAGCAGTCTTAAAATGGCAACTATGTCAGCTGAGACATACTTTTTATCCTGTGCCAGTACATCTGCCTTTGATGTTTTCATTTTCCTTATGCCACTGTACTCTTATTGGACCAGAAAGGGATAATTCTGAGTTCAATAAGCTACGTTATTATTTCAAAAGTCCTGGAAGTCCTTCATACATCTACAAATGAACTCAAAACCCCCTTCACCATGATTCCTTCCAAGAGATGCACAGACAAGGATGATTATTTATAATGCTCACTCCACAGATAAAAGCTGAGTCGGTGAGGGCTGGAAGAACTAAATCAGGGTCATTCCGTGAATCGTCTGCAAACTGTGGCACAGGTCCTGCTTCCTTCTCCTGTCTTCTCCCCTTTGGAAACTTCAAAGTTGTGGTAATCTCAGCCATCACCTAATCAAACTCCGTATCACACAACTGTAAACGCAGGCTCAGGAAGTCTGTAAAACTTAGGCAAAGAGGGCTCTTTCCCTTACACGACGCCATCTCTCAAAGATCCAAAGCCCTGATCACGATTTGGCGGTGGAAAAAATGGCCAGGAATAAAACTACATACGACAGTCCAGAAAGAGGTCCCACCTCCCGGATCTGGCGGTTCTGGCCTCCTGCTAACAAAGTGTCAGGAGCGCGCTTCCTCACCGGCTTCCCACCCGACCCCGGCCGCTCTTCTCCAGCCTGCCCGCCCCCCCGCCCGCCCGCCGGGGCCCGGAACCCAGCCCTCGAAATCTCACTTTCGTCTTTCGGCCACCCGCGCGCCACCGCTCTGGCGACGGCTGATGGCGTCACCCGCACTTCCGCCTGCGGCTGCGTTCTAGTCAAAAGCGAGGAAGGAAGAGGGGAGGTCTGAAGGGCTGTATGTGTGGGGGAAATAGCGAGGAAAAAGAAGAAATCCGGGTGCTCGCCGGCGCTACGACAGTAACCGCGGGCTTCTTCTGCCCCCGCGGTCCCCCCATCGGAAGTCGCCCTAGGCACACTTCCCTCGCCTCTCCGTAGTCTCCCCTCCTCTGGGTCTCCCGACACCCGGCTCTCTCCTTACGCCTCACCCCCTCCCCTTTGCTCCCTCACACTCCCTCCCTCTCCCTCCCTCCCATCGTCAGGCTCCCCGCCCTTAGTATCGCGAGACGAGGTGAGAGCTGGCGGAGCGGCGGCGGCGGCGGCGGCAGTAGAGGTGACCGAGGCGGTGGCGGCGGAGGCGGCACCGAGCGCTGTGTCGGCCCCGGTGCGGCCGAAGTCGCGGTAGAGCGTAGCCCCCACGCCCCTCCCCCGTCCGCGCCCTCCCTCTTTCCCTGGGGATGGAGAAGGCGACGGTTCCGGTGGCGGCGGCGGCGGCGGCGGCGGCGGAGGTCGGCAGCGGCGTTGGCGGCGGCAGCGGGGCTCGCTCGGCCTCTTCTCCTCGTGGGATGGTGCGAGTCTGCGACCTACTCCTGAAGAAGAAGCCGCCGCAGCAGCAACACCACAAAGCCAAGCGTAACCGGACTTGCCGACCCCCCAGCAGCAGCGAAAGCAGCAGCGACAGCGACAACAGCGGCGGCGGTGGAGGCGGCGGCGGCGGCGGTGGAGGTGGCGGCGGCACCAGCAGCAACAACAGCGAGGAAGAAGAGGACGACGACGACGAGGAAGAGGAGGTTTCTGAGGCAAGGGCCTGGTTTCAAAGGAAGGAGGGAGGAAGGGACCGTAAAGGGTAGGGGCTGAAGGTGGGAGGGGACTTACGGTGGGACAGATTCCTGTGGGTTGATCTATCTTAGCGGCCAGGCTTTCCACTGCCCTCTTTCTTTCCCCGGCCTAAATCGTGAGGTGTGGGGATGTGGGGGAGGGTAGCTGACACGTGGGGGTGGGAGGATCACAGAGCCCACAGAGTTGGTGAACAGCAGGTTATCCTGGGATGGTTCACACGGTTAAGGATGGAGGGAATTGGTTAGATTCCCTCTTTGCACACCCGGCGGGGTCTGACTGGGGTCAGTAGGGCCCTGTTATTCCTGGGGCGGGGGCGGGACCAAAGCGAGAGGGATAAGATAATAGGTAGCTGAGTCTCTTGGGGAATGACTAGGAGGTTGGTAAATTTCTCCCACTTGTGAGGTGGTAGGGAGCAGTTTTGAGGGGAGGTAGGGTTGTAATGGACTCAGAGCTAAGTATTTGTGTATGTGAGAGACACGTGAGAAGCTGTACTTTTCCATACTGTTCTGCAGGTTTTTGGTTTTTTGTTTTTTTTTTTTTCATAATTATTGTGGCTGCTGAAGTAGCCTTTAGTTCTTTGATCTCTCAGGGATTTTGGATGAACTGATCTTAGATCCATATACATTTATATATAACTCAGTGGCTGAAAAGTATATTTGACTCTTACATGTATATACATACACATCTTCAGATGCTTCCTTAGTGAGGAAAAATTAAGCCAGGCTGTGTCGTTTTCCAGATAATATGGGACAGCTGAAGAGTGCTTTGAAGCCAGCCTTGGTTGTGGTGAGTTGGAATAGGAAGGCCTCTTGGTTTGTCCTAGTGATCTGGTTTCATAACTGTTTATAATTTTTCCTGGGTCCACAGACAGGCGGCGTTGCAGGACCTTATTCTTCAAAGGCCACATATAACCCAAAAGCTCAGTAAAACATACCATACTGACAGAAAAAACTAAGAGTTAGCCTTATTATCAGCTCTTTTGTAACTCTCTTTCTTGTCCACTCCCTGAAATGGAAGCTAGAAAATCTTGGAGAACGAAGTTGTAACTTAAGGCAGCAGAACGAAAACAGCTTTAAAAGCTGATTTTAAATCTTTTGTAAGAGAACAACTGAATTATCTAGAAGTACCACTTGCCATTTATTCTCTTCCACAGAGTTTATCTTGGTGCAAGGCTTGTTTTTTGAAAATTGTATTATTGGATCTTGAGTTCTGTTCAAATAGAGAAATACCTTTTATCGAGTTTGAGACTTGTCTATTGGAAGACCATATTCTCTTTTACCTCAGATTGGATGAAGTTATATAGGTAGAGATGTAATAGTTCAAGTATGTATACCAAAAAGATGGACACTCCCTGCTATTCCATTATCCTATTGAATTCTGAGAATAGGTTTGTGTTGATAGATTTTGTATTGATTTTAGTTGGACCTTTCCGTATAGGGTGTTGCTTGGGCTGCATTTGAAACACTGAAGAGGAGGATGTGATGGGATTCTTATTTCCAATAAAATCTATTATGGTAGTGAGAATCTTTCCTTTGTATGATTCTTTGCAGAAATGAGAAACATTTTAGAAGTAATCTAGTTCAGCCTTTTTATTTTAAAAATGAGGAAAACAAGGCTTAGAGGAAACTGTGGTGGATAGTAGCAGAAGTAGAAATCAAAGTTTTCTAATGGTTCAGACCAGTACACTTTTTATGACAGCTTATTTCCCCGCCTGACATCTTTGAAAAATTAGGCAGTAAATTGTAAGGTAACACAATCATGCAGCTGTGGGCAAAATGCCAGTATTTTATTAAGATTTTAAATTCTCCCACAAAATATCAAGCTCTGGTTTGGAACTTGGTATAAAGTTGAGTGCAGTACTTACTGGAATATTATGCTGTAAACTTCATATACCTAGGTAGTTTTGTTCATTGGAATTTGGCCTAAGAAGCAAAACTTTTAGTAAGTTTATAGGTGTGTTAATTTTCTGAGTCAGGTTTATTTTCCTCAGAAAATGGGAATGATACATGTTGACTTTCATCAACTAGGGGAGTTTCTTTGTTTTTAGTATGCTTTATTTTGTGCATAGTGCTGTAAACAATAGGTTTGTCAATTGTGAAGATGAGTCAGGAGAAATAAGTGTAAGAAAGTGCAGCCATTAAAAATAAATCTATATAGGTACATGATGAGGGATGAGCTGGGAGAAAGGAGTACAGTATGTCTCCGCACCTGCCTCTATCCTTGACCAAAATAAAGAAGTAAATAAATTTCACAGTCACTGTACACTATAAGCTAAATGGATGAGTTGTGCAGTGTTTTTCATTTCATTATCATTTTATTGACATGTCAGCAGAAGTTTAACTTTCTAGAGCTAGGGAATCTTGTGGTTAATACTCATTGTATTTAAGTACATTTTCTAATTCATTCTGTTATTGGCTACACAATGAAAAATGTGGATAACATGATCCTTGAGATTATCCTTCTAATAAAAGTCATCAAAAGGTTAAAAAGGAGTATGAAAGGTTATAGTTTCTGTATATAGTTGTGGTTTCAGGTACTTAACCTGAAAAATTGAAGGATAATTTAGCAAAAATATATACGTTTGCTGTGAAGAAATGTTAGCTGGATATTCTCTATATCTGCTGAAAGAGGAAAAGTTGGAAGGAAAGGAGATTTAATTTAAATAAGAGTCTTACTTGAATCTTGAAGAACAAGCATCTAATTCTTGCTAAATGTTGGAGTAGCTTATTGAGAATTGGATTTTTCTCTTCAATGTCAGAATAGGATAATCATGTTTTAGATAATTAATGTAACTTCGGCTATACCTGGAAACAAAAGTATAAGACCAAGAGCTCTCCTTTTCCCTCTCCTACTCTCCCGCCCTCCCATTTGACTCAAAAATCTTAGATCAAAAGGAAAAATGCGTAATTGCCTTGGCTTTCAGTGGGTGACTAATATGGAAAATACACAGAAATGTGTTTCCTAACATAAAATTGTAATGCACTTCTTTTCAAATTAGTGACTAAATTGCTTACTTGAATATTACAAGAAAAAAACGTTAACATTGCATGAGTTGATACTCCATTTCAGAAGAAACATGCATTCTATTGAATGCATTTTGAAATGTAATTGGATGATATCAGTGTTTGCTAATGCAGAATTCAAAGGGGAAAAAATTGGCTATTAAAGGTAGGATTCGTGTTCAAAAGTAATTTTTATTAAAGATGAATAAAATGTAAAGACAATAGGAGTTTTTCAGAATTCCGGCTATTTTTGGTAGGTAACTTGAGGCTTTAAATTTAAGAGACAAACCTAGTGGTGAAATTTTAGACAAGGGGAGCTCCCAGTGCATAAATTAGTACTGACTTACTCACTTTTGAAAGGATTTGCAAGGCCAGGGAGAATCCGTTTGTAGACATGGAAGAGGTAGGGTTGAGAATGAGAGAGAAAGAAAAATTATTTCAGTAGATTTTGTTCCCTCAAATTCACTTCTAAATCTTCTTGTTGTTGTTTTTTAATGGAAAAATGCCATCCAGGTTCCTTTGTTATAATGGTAGAATCCCAGATGAGTCCAGAGAAGCTTACTTGTTCCCCAGTTTCATCTCTTAATTGATAAAGCAGTATTTGTAAACTAGAAGTTAAGCTCTTTGAATAGTTCTTGTCTCCTAGTCTGCTTAAGCACAATACTTGATAAAAAACATTTTCAGTGAATAACTAGTACTTAAGGAGAATCCAGAATTCATTTAGGAAACCAAGAGAAGGAATAGTTTCTCCCTTCTTGGATCCAGGGCTGCCAAATAGCTAAAGTTTGCTTTCAGTATCTTTCAGTTACTAATTACTTCTCTTAGTGACAGTCCTTTTCAGTAGGGATCCTCTTCCATAGGTATTAACAGGGAAAGCCAGTTAAGCCAATATATATTGATTGTTGAATGCCTGATAAGTACCTTAAGTGTCCTAGGTATATTTACATTTTAAAAACATAGGAAACTATTACTTATTCAGTGTCTACTGTGTGTCAGATCTAACATAATGGTTAAGAGCATGGACTAGAGCTTAGAGTCAGATATGATCCATCACTTACTAGCTTTGTGATCTTGGACAAGTTACTTAACCTCTCTGCACCTCAGTCTCCTCTTATGTAAATGGTGATAATGTAGATTCTGTTGTATATCATTGGTATGAGAATTATTTAAATAAGATAATACAGGTATCATGTATTCTCATTTTATTTTCACCATATCCCTATGAAGTAGGTGTTCTCATATTTGTTTCGTTATTCAATACACGTTTAGAGTTCCTACTATATGCTGGGCATTTTGTTGTACTGGGTAAGTAATGGTGAGCAAAACTATTTTAAGACACATTGATTTAAAAATGCAGCAATGATTAAATACAGGTTTTGGGAGGTACGATAGTGCGAGTAAATGGTTAAACATAGATCCTAAATAAAATGGGTGAGTTTCAGAAGTATACAAATATACTTGAGTTGTTAATTTGGGATCTAGATAGGCTGTGAATACCTGAAATTAAACCCAAGATTTTGTTGAAGGTGCTTATAAAGTGTTTTATTCTTTCTTCCCTACCCCTGTAGTGTGTGTGCAGAACTTTTTATAATATTCTCAGAGAGATCTGTGACTGCCTCCTTCCTCCCTCCCACCTTGTTATTTTGAAATATTCTCACTGCAGTAGTAGTGGGGAATCAGGCAGGCATTTATGTGCATTGTTTAGAATTGGGAAACTACTTGTAACCAAGGTAATGTAGTAACACAGAAGGTCTATATGTGTTGTGAAGTCCAAGACTTAACTTGTTCTTTCTGGTAAACTAGCTCTATGCTTACTCTTGTCTTAAATCCTCATATTTTGCCTTTTAACTGTTTAATTAGTGAAGCCGCTTTCATCCAGTCTGCTATGGACTATCAGATCTGAAGATGTGATGAAGATGAAGATGAAACCTTGCCTTACACATCTTTATATCTCCTCC